AAAAAAAGCCGGAAGTGGCGCTGTGGCTCAAGTGGTAGAGCGCTAGCCTTGAGCTGAAGAGCTGAGGGACAGCGCCCAGGCCCAGAGTTCTGGCCCCACGACCGGACCCCCCCCCAAAAAAGGGGGGGAAGGAAGGGAGGATAGGAAGGAGGAAGGGAGCGAGGGAGGGAGCAAGGAAAAAGAAACAGAAAAAGAAAAAAAGAGAAAGAGAAAGAAAAAGAGCAGAAAACTATTAAGCAACAAACAAAGCACATTTCTTCTCTTCAGAGATTGTATGCCAGTCATTATCATGGAGAAAAGAAAAAAATTGCAAGATAACTGACTGCTCTTATCTCCTAAAGCTACAGAATTACATAATGTTATAATCACTCAAGTAATTCCAATTACTACCTAGTTGGGCAGAAAATAACATAAGGCTTTTATGAGTTTTCAAATTCTCTCCTCAAAAAAGAAAAGATCCTGTTGTAATAAAGTATCTTTAATTGTTTACATAATGAAAAATGCTACTATATGCACCACATTGATGTTTTCCCCTATGGTTTTTAAATCCCCTAATGCTACTGAATCACAGGACAAATACCTGACAGGATGAAAGGTAAAAACCCGTATTTTATTTGTAAGCAGGAAGTAACTGAAAACAACTATGCTAAGCATACCACATATTATATAAGCATGAGTAAAATGTAGATAAAGTGTAAATTATCCAGAGATCATGAAGTTTTACTATTTTAAAATAGTTACTAGGGTAAGCAGTTCTATCAGCTGGCTAAAAAAAGTTTCATTGGCAGCCCATGTCAGAATATCTAAATACCAGAGTATCTAGGAATATCATTAATATTTATGATATTCCTACAGACTTAAATCTAGAAGATCTCAGTTCAAAGCCAGTAAAGGCAGAAAAATTCAAGAGACTCCATTTCCAATATAGTTAGCAAAAAGCTGGGTTGGACATGTGTTGGTAGCTCATAATTATAATCATAACTACTCAAGATCTAAGAATCATGATTTAAAGCAAGTTCACACAGATAAAGAAGGAACTGGAGGCGTGGCTCAAGTGATAGAGTACTGGTCATGAGCAGAAAAGGCCAAGTGAGAGTACAAGACTCAGTCCAAGTACTAGCACCAGCACTATTTAAAGGGGGACAAAAAAAAAAGCTAGGTTGGATGGACAATTTGAGCAAGTAGACTGGTTTAGAAGGGGTAAAGCTTTGAATTCAAATCTTTTTCTTTTTTAATTGTTGGTCATGGGGCTTGAACTCTGGGCCCACGCGCTGTCCCTCAGCTCTTCAGCTCAAGACAAGCACTCTACCAGTTGAGCCACAGCGCCTCTTCCAGTTTTCTGACGGTTTATTGGAGGTAAAAGAGTTTCATGGACTTTCCTGCCTGGGCTGGCTTTGAACCCTGATCCTCAGATCTTAGCCTCTTGAGTAGCTAGGATTATAGGTGTGAGCTACCAGCGCCCAGCTGAATTCAAATGTTGGTAATAGAAAAATCCCCCTGAAAAGAGTGCTAGATCTAGGAAAGTTTCCTTTAAGTATAGTTCCTAGTGCAATGATAGCTAAGTAAGTACAATGACGATATTTATGCGTTAACCTTAACTTCAACAGGCAAAATTCAGGTTCAGATTGAAGCCATCGTTTAAACAAAATTAGTGAACCTACTCAACATCACTCATTCTTTTTCATTCATCTTTTTTTGCACACGTTTGTCCTGGTACTTAAACTTGGGACCTGGGTGCAGTCCCTGAGCTTTTTACTCAATGCTAGCACTCTGCCACTTGAACCAGAACTTCACTTTCTGCTTTTTTGGTGTTTAATTGGAGATAAAGAGTCTTAAGGAATGGGCTGGCTTCAAACCAGACTCCTGATCTCAGACTCCTGAGGACCTAAGACTGCAGGCATGAGCCACTGGTGCCTGACTCACAGCATTCTTGTAGCTACTACTTGAGAGGCTGAGATCTGAGGACTGTGGTTCAAAGCTAGCCTAGACACAAAAGTCTATCAGACTGTTATTACCAGCTAACCAGCAAAGAGTGAAGCTGTGACTCCAAATGGCTCTACCAGCACTCTTAAGCAAATAACCCTAAGGAACTGTGTGTGTGCCCTGACCCTGAGTTTAAGCCCAGTACTAGGAAAGGGAGTGGAATGGGGCCTAGGGACAGCAGACTAAAGAAGGAAAATATTTTAAGAAAGTCAAAGATTACCTGAATGCATTCTCTCTATAATAATGGACTGGTGAGGTGGAGGTTGAAGAAAATGTGAAGCATGAGAAATTGCAAGAGCCAGACCAGAACCAAGGGGATTCTAGAAAAGAAAAGAAATACATAACTCTCAATTGATATTACTCTTACTCTACAAAAACAACTAGCCATAATATCAAATTAACAAACCTCATTTCCTGAAACATGTAGTATTTTATTAAAAAAATAATCTAGTTTATCTAATTTGATCAGTTTTATCTTGGTTTAGTTTATTTTTACTAGTAATATAATCTAATTTTAATTTTTGGTATAATAAAACATTGCCTTTTAAATTACAAGTTCACTTAAAGACATCTAAGCCAATACCTAATTAAAACATAATTTACCATTCTGCACTTGTTGGAATTTTTGTTATGTGCTGCAAGATTGACTGCTGGGGGATCAATGACTGAGCCTGGGAAAAGCTGTGCAAGTTCAGCATTAATCACAACAGAAACTGCTTCATTGGGTGGAGTGAGTGGTGGAGTCATAAAAAGTGGTGTTGTTTTTGGAGTGGGTGGAATAACATCGGATGGATGAATGAAGAATCCAGGGGCAGCCACTGGGTTGGAAGGCACAGAGTTGTGGACAGGACCTACTGCTGATGCTGCTGATGCTGCTGCAGCTGCTGCAGCTGTTGTCTGATGTAACTTGGCTTCCAGCTTTGCTTTCTGTAAGAGAAGTAAAAGCAACACATATAGACTAATCTTGCCTAGCTAAGTTATTGGAACACGACATGGCCATGTATTATTAAAATAAACATGATTAACTAGAAGCTGGTTACATAAAGATGAATCAAAATGGTTCTCAATATAAATGGAACACTGCCTTGTTATGTATATTTCTTTCAACAATGAATTAAAATTTTCCTGTGTATTTGTAAATTAGGACTTTCTCAAAGGAAAGGTAAAAATTAAGAATAAAAGTTAAACGTTAACAATAAAAACAAAGTTCTGCTCAAAACAAAATATTGATAAGAAGTAGTCTTACGTTAACTAACATGAGCAAATGGTAGAATAATTACTAATATTATTACTAAAAGTATATGTCACATTAATGTAAATGATCTTTAAGATACTGCTTTCAGTAAACAGTAATGGAATTTTACCATTGTTAGATTCAGAGTGTATAAATTGAAAATGGATTTTACTTCAAAATTACACAAAATGTATCATTCTCCTTTCAGTTATGTATCAAATAAAATGCTTTCATGTTATCTTAACTAATTTAAAGATATCACAAAGACTTTACCTCAATTTTTTTGTTGAAAATGATTAGCTCAGACCGGTCAACCTATTTTCTTTATGAAAATAATGGTCATTTTTACAGTACTTTCTCAGCTTTTGAAGTTTAGAGACAGCATGAACAAAGAGCCAAATAGTCTCCAACCTGTTGCTGAAGCTTCAAAAGCTGCTGCTGTTTCTCTTGCAGCACCTGTAGCTGTTGCTCGGCTGAAGCCATTGCATGAGAGAGAGACTGCAAAGCTACCTGGGCTGCTGAACTCAGGGCTGTGGAGGCTTCCCCAACTGTCCCAGATGATAGTCCACCTACTGCCGGAGTAACCCCGAAGGAACTCACTGGCATAAGACAAAGGGAAAACAAAAACAAAAACACCAGGATGAAGAAAGGGCTCATAGAGAGACAAAGTAATCTTTGCCATCTAAACTAGTGTTAGCTTTCACTTTAAAAAAAAAAAAAAAGACTGGGAAAGTATAGCTTTTAATACCAAAAGAGATTCAGTAATAAATTTGAAAGTATAGAAAAATTAAAGACAGGTTACATCAGAGTTTGCAATTGTTTTTTGAAAAATTACAAAGAGATAAGCTAATATAATTTGAGCAGTAAAATAAATTAAAAATTTTTATTAACTTTTCTTAGATCAACAACATACTCTTTTCCACTCCAAAAACAAAACAAACAAACAAAAACCAGATAAGCCTGGTGACAGGGGCTTGTGCCTATAATCCTAGCTGCTCTGGAAGCTGACATCTAAGGAATGCCATTCAAAGCCTATCCCAGCAGGGAAGTCCGTGAAACATTTATCTCTAATTAACCTCCAGAAAACCAGAGTGAGTGACTCAAAGTGGTAGAGTGCTACCTTTGAGATAAAAGCTCAGGGACAGCACCCAGACCGTGAGTTCAAGCTCTAATTTTAAGAACATTATCTTTGAACTCTTAATTTTCTCTCTTTTTTTTTTTTTTTAGTCAGTCATGGAACTTGAACTAAGGGCTTGGGCACTGCTTTTCCTGAGCTTTTGTGTTCAAGGTTAGAGCTCTACCACTTAGAGCCACAGCTCTACTTCCAGTTTTTAGGTGTTTAGTTGGGGATAAAAAGTCTAACAGGGGCTGGGAAGGGGGCTCAGTGGTAGAGCACTTGTCTTGCATGCCTGAGGCCCTGGGTTCCATTCCTCAGAACCACATAAGAAAAAAGAAATAGGCCGGAAGTGGCGCTGTGGCTCAAGTGGTAGAACACTTGCCTTAAGCTGAAGAGCTGAGGGACAGTGCCCAAGCCCAGAGTTCAGGCCCCATGACCTGACCACCCCCCCCAAAAAAAAAAAGTCTCACAGACTCTTCTGTCCAGGCTGGCTGTGAACCACAATCCTAAGATTACAGGTGTAAGCGACCAACAGCGGGCTAGTTTTTCTCATTCTAAAGCGTAGTCTAAACAGTAGTTTTTCTCATTCTAAAGCATAGTCTAGACAGAAGGGCTACATAGAATCTGTGAAACAATCTTCCAAATAATATAATCCACAGAATATTCAAAATGGAGAAAGGCATGTCCCACACACAGTTAAAGCTGACAGCTAACCAATAAACACTACCATCAATAAAAGCTTTAGAAAACATTATTAGAAAATTTCTGACATCTCTTTTCAATGTTAATCAAATATATATTAAAAATGAGCTGTTTCATGTTATCATTTATGAACAGGACTTTGGGGGGAAAAAAACTGAAATATAAGCTTAATTTTAGGTGGGCACTAGTGGCTCACACCTGTAATCCTAGCTACTAAGAAGGCTGAGATCTGAAGATTGAGGTTCAAAGACAGCCCAGACAGGAGTCCTTGAGACTCTTATCCAGAAGTGGTCCTGTGGCTCAAAGTGGTAGGACACTAGTCTTGAGCAAAATACCTAAGGGACAGTGCCCAGGCCCAAGTTCAAGCCCCACAACCAACCAAAACACAAAACAAAAGTACAAAGCTGAACCTGGTCAAATTAGGATAGAAACCACAGTATGTAAGTGAAGCCAATCCAATGGGCCAGCACAGAACTTACACCAACCCATTACATCTTTGCAGTAGCAATAAAGTACTAGGTTTTAATAGACAAAGTAAGTTACTATTGTACCTCTTATGTACTCTTTTTTGGGGGGGTCTGGTTGTGGGGCCTGAACTCTGGGCCTGGGCACTGTCCCTCAGCTCTTCAGCTCAAGGCTAGCGCTCTACCACTTGAGCCACAGCACCACTTCCGGC